ATTTTTACTACGCTGCAGTTTCTGTATTTACACAGTAAGACTGGCTACACAGAGGAGTTATCTGATTAATGTTACTACTATGGTACAATCTTAAGCCTACATGCAAGAACACTGTGGGAGAAGGGAGGGAACGTTAAGATGAGTTTTTTATTCAGGTCTTCCTCAAGCAGGCCCAAGTGATCAAGGGGAGTGCAGGTTTCATGATGTACACTGCAACAAAATCTTGAGTTGTATTTCAAAGGGGAGGAAGAATGCTATGGAGTGTGCTATAATGCACTGCTACTTGTGGATCTCCTCCAGATTATCTTGCTTCGAAATAGGCAAGTCCTTTGCAGCAGACTAGCCATAACTTGGCCAAGGCAGCTATTAGGAGGAATAGCCGTCAAGAAATACAGTATTTAAAGACCTCTGACTAGCAGTTACAGATTTCACACTGGCTAATTAACTCAATAGAAAAAAATGGAGATTGAAGATGGTCAGGAATGGCTGGAAACACTAACCAAACTCTTCACAAAACTGTTATCTCCAATTCTGTGAAAAGAACAACTTTTCAGTTCAAGTCTACTCATTGAAAGCCATTGCTGAAGCTGCTTTTTTGCAGCTTTTTGAGGAAAGAATGACATAAATATAGTGCATCTGAGCAGGATGGAACTAGAAGGATGCAAGGAACTCTAGATATGGTATCCTCTTTTGTTATGTTTCGGCATTTTGTTTGGTTGCTTTTGTTGGCCCATAGCTGACTGTTTTCATGCTAACATGCTTACTTTCAGTAAAATGTGTCTGCAGTACTGAGAGCTAAGCTTAGGGATGGAACTCTGGCGCAGCTGTGCCTAAAGCTCCTGGATCACTCAATGGCTTCTCTTGAGAATCTTTTCATACCGCTGTAATTTTGAAACAAGGAGGCATATCAAGCCAAGTAGTTCTGACTGGCATCCCCCTGTGCTGACATCTAGATACTTCTGGCAGTAATTGGAGATTTCAGGCTGAGCTGAGGACTGTAGCTGACCTTGAGTGATTGCTTGTGTTTTTTAGAGAGGCACAGCTGAAGTTTCCTGCTGTCAGTTGGACTGCAGCAGTGCTGGCTGCCTTTTGCTTTCTCCAGGTCCTAGCACAGGCTTTGGTGATTGCTCTGAAATTGCATGAGCAGTTCTCAATATCACCTTATAGGCAGGGCACAGTTGAGCAGTTAATTCCCTCAGGCAGTATAGCTGGCCACATTTCTCCAGAAAGATCAACCAGAGAGATCCCAAATGGAAAAAAGTCTTCATCCTGCCTGAACAAGGAGGGGTAAATTCCAACTTGAGAGTTATAGAGGAATCAAAAAAGCTAAGCAGCCTCATGAGACTGTGGAAAGCAAACACAAATTCAATGCAAGTATGAACTAAGCACATCCATTACAGAAATGTGTCATTCTAGTAAACAGAAGCAAAACTTGATCTCATTTTCTTGCCATCAGCACTATGCAGAAATCACACTGTAGTGGCCAGAAATCAGTTTTGGAATAATGGCTGGTAGGAAGGTAGCCTAGGACATGCAGCAGTATGACTAAGCTTTCCAAACAGAAATAATGTATGTGGGTATTGCACCTAATAACAAATGCACTGAGTTTCCTCAGACAAGATCTTCAGCTGGGGCAAGGCCAGTTCTGCACTATGGCTAATAGGCAAACCTACTCTCTGCAATAGCTTTCCCAGGCTAATTTGAGGGGTTGGAGCACAGGCCTTACGAGGAGCGGCTGAACAAGTTGGAATTGTTCAGTCTGCAGAAGAGGAGGCTCAGGGAGACCTTATTGCTCTCTATAACTACCTGAAGGGAGGTTGTAGTGAGCTGGGGTCGGCCTCTTCTCTCATGTAGTGATAGGACTAGAGGAAATGGCTTCAAACTGTGCCAGGGGAGTTTTAGGCTGGATGTTAGGAAATACTACTTCTCTGAAAGAGTGGTCAGGCAGTGGAATGGGCTGCCCAGGGAGGTCATGGAGTCACTGACCCTGGAGGTGTTCAAGGAATGTTTGGACATTGTGTTGAGGAGCATGGTTTAGTGAGAACTATTGGTGATAGGTGAATGGTTGGACTAGATGATCTTGTAGGTCTTTTCCAACCTTGGTGATTTTATGATTTCCCTGGTTGATTTGCCAGACTGATCCTATGGACCTGCCTTAACATTTCCTGTCTAACATTTGATTATTACACACACAGCTATATTCACAGAAAACCTGAGTGTGCAATATTTCAAGTCTTTCACACTCTGTAATGTGGGATTTCTCACATCTCAGACTGTAGCTTAAGGATGAGATACATGGAAATTTTCCAGACTGCCAGGTGTGGGGTCACAGTGTTAGCTGTCACAGCTGCCAACGTTCATCTATGACTGCAGTTTATAGATTTAGACAAAAAAAATCTTAAAAAAAAAGATTTTGGATCAGATTTCATAGCTTTTATATCTGAACAGCTGTTAGCTAAATTTGAGATTTGCCTCACGCTGGTATTAAAACCAACCAAAAAGCAAGAAAACACTTCCGTCACTCCAGGGCAGCCCTGAACCGCAGAGCCCAGGCGCCCTTTAAGCAAATGATGTTAAAGCAGTTTTTCCATTGGAGCTATATAACATAAGTTAGGTTGGTGTCTTCATCCTCAAAGTCTTGAATATGTAGTATTGACACATGTTCACAAGACAGCCAGTCACACGGAGAGACCTAGAAGTGCTTCCAAGCCTGGCAGCCCATGCCTTGCCTTTCACTTTCTTTGTTCTTTCCTATGCTGGCCATCCCATGCTCTAATTTGTTCTGGGAGATTTATATTACTGTTTATCTCCCACCCCCATCTGTGTGATTCTCTTTCTCCTAGAAACACGTGGAAGGATGCACAGCCTAAAGGTGCAATCTCTCCCAGGCTTTGGTATCAGCACATGCCAGGCACACGGTGACTTCTCACTCACCTACGGACACATTACATTTGGTCAGAAGAACAGAGCAATATCATATCAAGAACAAATGACTGCCGAAGTTAGATATTTTGCTGCAGTTCCATTTATTTTTTAAGTATAAAGGCTTGTTCTTGTTCCCAAGCAATTATCTATGCCTCTTAACTGAGCCTTTCTCAGGGATAGTTCTGTCTCAATACTTTCTCCTCTTCTCAACACTGTGTTAGCCATGTGCTTGGGAAATGTGGTGTTGTAAGCTTCTCAATGTTTTAACTTTTCCACTGAATACAGTTCTCTTTTTAACCAGATGAAAGGTGGCTGTTTATTTCCAAAACTTCAGGGACTGACATAGCCCTTAACGATTCCTGTTCTTTCCTGGGGTCTGTTACCTGAAACAGATGGTAGAGGAGAGGAGGAGTCCTGCAGGATGCTTTCCCTGAGGAAAGCAATTGTCTTTAGTGACAGTTGGGCAAATATCAATTTGTGATTCCTGAGACACTTCTATATTAAAAAATAATAATAAAAAAATCTTATTTGGAACAACTACAACTTCTCAAACTTTCCTGCAGAACAGCAGATGAAACTTCTGCTCAGAATTTTTAAATCAGCTTTAGAATTTTAAAATCCAGCATGAAATCTGTACAGATACTTTTACCTCTATATTCTCACACAGGGGAAAAAAAAAAAAAAAAAAGACAAAGTGTGAAAACTCATGCTAAGAACTAAAAAAATAAAAAAAGCTTCTCTGATAGTTACAGAGTCAGAAACATAATTTCATGCTGAGTATGAAAAATATGGTTGAATAAACATGAGCTCTGCTCTATACAGCAGAGCTTCTGGATATTGTTCCCAAAATCATCTCTTGTTCGCACAACGCTTCTGGAATATTTAAAAGAAATTGGAACATTTCCTTTTAATTTGAAACTTTTTTAGAAAAACTTTTTGAAGCTGAGATACAACATATCATATATTGTTACAGAACCGTTAACCTTCTCTAAAAACAAGGCCAAAACATACATCTGACAGTATGTGTCATAGTGTATAAAATTTAAAGCCACACTGCTATCCAAAATGGCTTAAGCTTGTCGCGGTGCTCAGCTTAAGCTGTGTCCCATGCACAGCTCCGCATGTCAATCCAGGTCTAATTTATCTAGTAAATACTATTCACAAGCCCAGGTGTTTGCAGAGATCTTTGTAGGCTCTGAACTAGAATTCTAGCACAAAATTATCACTACTAAAATTAATTCAGGAATATTAATTCAGACTGAAATATCTTGGCTTAATACTTGAGAAAGTGAGGACAAAAGTCAGTTAGCCCTAAGGGTGTTTTACTTCTGAGGGAATTTGGTTTTATATCTGATCCTGTTCCACCAAGGGAAGAGTTTTCTTACCAATTACAGGACAAGGAGAATGTAGAATCAAATACTTGGGCTGCAGTGCTAGAACAAAATGAGAATTAGAAATTTTAAATGTCCTTGGTTCTTACATAAGATTTTAAACCACTTTAAGCAGAAGTGATAACCAAAATCAGTTTGTAGGAATAAAATCTAGATGTCTTAATCTCATCTTTTTAGTGGCTTCAGGAAGGAAAGTAATCCCAAGAAAAAAGAAGTACTCCCAGACAGTAAATTAATTGTACTATTGTACTGGAACAAGGACTAGCCATAGATAAATAGAAACCAAGCCTTGAGCATGGATAGTTGTTTCTCTCTAGAGAAGGGTTCAACTCACAAAAAGAAGAGTTTAAGAAAGCAAAGACAGACAAAGACCAGATACCTACTGAAACAAATGGAAATCAGACATTTGTTCTATTGGCAATGCAGGACAAGGTCTTTACCTGCCCAAGAAGCAATGCAGCTAATCATGCTGCATGGCAGCAGTAACTGTAGTCCATGTCAATTTACTTAAACTAATATTCACCTTCAAAGTATGATGTGTCCCTTCAGTGTCACAGTTGCTGCACAAAGGCAGCATTAGATTTCATGATGTACTTTATTCCCAGGCAATCCAATAGATTAAATCTTAAGAGGAGATTTTTTTCTTTTTAATAAACAGTATTCTCAGCAATACAACTTCTCCAATTCAGATTCATCTTAAATGTTTTATTTTAATATTAACAAAGTGGAAAGCAATTAATTATATTGAACTTTTCAACATAGTCTTTATTACAGCAAAAATTTCAAGGCCAAAAACAAAAGAAAGGGTTGGCTTGAGCAACTTTGCTCTTTCCTTACTAGCAGCCCAAAAAACTTGCCCTACCATTTATCCTCCCTTTTCTGCTATTTAGCACTTCAGCTCTTTTTCCTTGAACCCAACTTCTTTAAGTCGCTTTCTCGTTTTTCCAGGTTCACTATGACTGGTGGGCTGTGCAGGAAAGAACCATGCCACCCTCCAGTTTCTTGGTGACTGGATTCGCAGTGCTCGAGATGCCTGCTTCTTCCCTCTTGCTCTTCTTTCAAATCTGAGGGGAAAAGCTAATGTGATAAAACAATAAATGATCATAGCAAAAGATAAGTGACCTTACAGAACAAATTCTGGCTTTTCTGCAAGCTTCAGAGCCTCATGCATCCCTGCAGCCGATAGTTTCCGGTTGATATTCCTGTATCTGCATTGCAGGAGATTGCGGTAAGTTGTCCTCAGGTCCCGATTGAAGAAGGCATATATAAAAGGGTTAATGAGAGAGTTTGCATAACCCAACCATAGAAAGGTTCTCTCAACCCACAGTGGGATACAGCTGCACGCTGTACCACAGATGAAGGGTCTGGCAGTCGAGAGGAGGAAAAATGGCAGCCAGCACACAGTGAAAGCCCCAACAATAATCCCAAGAGTAGTGGCAGCTTTCTGCTCTCTCTTAAAAATGGAAATGTTTTTCTTGTCATTCTTCAAGAGTCGTGAAAAATTAGTACATTCTTCAGATTCCTTGTGCAGTTTTATCACTCCATTCATAGAAATCCCTTCCATTTCTTCTGGCCTGGGAAAACTGGTGAACTTGTGTTTAGCAGCACTCCTTTTGGCAGCCTTGTAAATCTGATAATACATGAAAAGCATCACTGACATTGGGATATAAAATGCAACTGCCGTGGAGTAAATCGTGTAGCCGAAATCTTGGCTGATCAAACAGACCTTTTCATCATTCACATTTTGGGCCCAACCAAAGAGCGGGGGTATGGTGATAGAGGCAGATAAGAGCCACACACACAGGATCATTTTGGCCATGCACTTCCCATTCTGCCTCACAGGATATGTGAGCGGTCTTGTTATTCCCAGGTACCTAAAATGACAACACAGAGTTATTATGCAGTGCAGTGATTAAATGCTACAAGTTATTTCACGTGGTCTGCCATTAAATTTAACACCTTTTGCTAAGGTTTCTATTTTAGCCTTTTCAATGCACATATTTCAAATTTGTGAGTTCATATGCATCTTTCACTTTAAGATTTATAGTGCTGGTACTCTGTATAGTGCTGGTATTCTAAAAGCTCTTTTCTAGAGGGAAATCTCGCCATAAGGGACTGGGATTTTAATGCATTTGTACAGTCTTCATATAGATAATTCTTTTGTTGTTGTTACTAAGGAAATTCTGAAAGCCAAATAAATGATGTACAGGAGAGTGCTCCATACACAAAGGAGATATAAAGGAGTATATTTTTTGAGTGAATGCTTAAGTTGAAAGAAAGATGCATTCATCTTAACCTTCATTCACCTTATGCATTGATAAGTTATGAAGATCTCTACCTCTAAACTGATCTTACCTTCATGTTTCAGGCAGGAATTATAAACTGTAAACTTATGCCAAGAACAGATAATTTCAGTACTACAGCTATTCTTTTTATCATCATTTAATAAGAAATGATATTTATTTATCATGCTGACTTCTACTGAACAAAATAACAATCCACTGCAGTGTTGATTTGGGAAGACCTGGGGAAAAAAACATTTTACCAGAAGCTAAGTTTAGAATGGTAAATAATTTCAAACAGATAAGAAACATCTCTATAGAGTGTCAAGTTTCCATAAAAAATGTGAAGCCTGCTCACAACTACATTTCCTAAGCTGTCAGAGCTTAAGCCACATATTTTTTTCTAGTAAAACATTTCTTACTATTGCCTTATGTAGCTGGACAGCAGTATCCTAAGCCTATTTACTCTCAACTGCATAAGATATATTTATGTTCTTTCTAATGAAAGGATCTTTCTCTTGGAATATGGAATTAGATGCTTGCTTTTTTTTTCCCTTTTCTCCTTCCCTCCCCCAAACATTTATACTTTGAAATTAGGTTTCTGCTGTGCTGGAAATTACCAGTGAATTCCCATAAACTTCTCTCATTGTTCTTTTTCTTCTTCCTCCTCCCAAAAAGGAAGAATTTTTAAGAAAATCTATGCAATTAATTTCTCCTAAAATAAATGTTTCACAAGGTTTTGGTTTCAAGAGGTACCAGTGTTTAGTTACACAGTGAAGGTTTTGGAAGGTTACAAATAAGAAACATAACAATGAGAATATAAATGTTTTTTCAGAGCACTTTTTCTCTCTACTCACCTAGCAAATCAAAATATGAGTGTATCCATAGCTCTGCAGAATGCTGCATTGATGATTTTACTGCAATGCAGTAAATTATGGCCAGTGCTGCTGCTTTATAGAAGGACCCAGGTATGTTACAGTTTTGGAAGCAAAAGGATTCATCATTTCGTGACCTGTTTTGATGAGTAATAACAGTCACTCTTGACGTCACTATCACTTACACTACTGACATGGCAAGTTTTATACAAAGAAGAGAATTAACTTATTGTGTCCTATTCTTGACAGCATGCATGAGCAAACTCCAGCAGCCCAGTATTGTGCCAGTGAAGCTGCGCCCAATGGTGCTGTGAGCTAGGAGTATTAAAACTGGCTGCAATTAAAGCAATAGGCTTTATAAACATTGATCACGGTGTTAAAAAAGACTGTTTCTTGTTCACGTCTCCATCAGCGTTAGAACACAGCCATCACCCCAGTGCTAGTGGTCTGGGCATGCGGTACGTGCCATGGAGAGTTCTGTTTTTCACAATCATGGCCAAAACTCCTTGCACTGCTAAGGAGAGGGACTTGTCTAAGGTCCAAGATGGAGGAGAGCAGAGTTAATTGTGTGAAGTTCTAGAGTTCACCTATCTAAGGGCTAGACCCTTATAAGTAATGTAACTACAGCAGCTGCAGAAGCCCTTCTGGGACGGCACTGGCACATCCTTCATATTTGTCTGAGCATAGCATGAGAGAGCTGCACAGGAGTTAACTGCACCCTTTCTACAGAAAGCTTTAAGTGTCACTTACAGTGCAGTGCTTAAAAAAAATCATTAACAGTTGATCCACCTTCCTGAGGTATGTATTTTTCTAGCTAATATATGATTGGCCATTAAAAATAACATGATTACGAGGTGAATTTTATTATGTAGCCAAAATAGTTAAAGCAGATTTCTGTAAAAATCAGATCTGTAGGCTGCACACACTGCATGATGACTGATGTCTAAAAATTCATGAAAGCATAAGTATACTGAAAAGAATTAAAATGCATTAGTTTTGCCCTGGCATCTCTTTTTTTTTTTTTTTTTTTTTTTAAGCTATCTGAACTTCAAAAATGCTACTTGAAATTAAAATACATTAATTAAAATAAAAATACATCAGCATCCTTTCTATCTTATTCATTTTGCTAAATGTAGTATGATAGGAATAAAAAAGCCAGCAGGCATAAGTGAAGGAACTTTATCTTTTCATCTCTATATGAAATCCACTACCCTTGAAAACTTACTTGCAACTTCAAAATAATGTAAATCACTTCTGCTGTCTAATACACAAGAGAGTGTCCAAGACTTAATACATTCCTGAGCTTCAAAAGTATTGTCTAATGCATTGCAAAAATACACTTTTTAATGCTTAATTTTTAGTTACTACCTTCCAGAGATTACTACAGGTGAATCAGCTGAACTTACGGTATCATTCCATAAAATATCTAACACCTTGAGGCATTACTGCTGGAAAAGGATGAAGTCAAATTCCCTAAAAAGCCTACTTCATATATCTCAGCCATCCACACAAGAAGGAAGTGTCTTGGACAACCTGTTGCTAGTATCTAGAGGATACAGTGACAGAAAGACTATGGGAACTTTTCTTGTACTACATCACTGACATCTGGAAGACAGTCCCATGCTCAGATAGCTGAGAGTAAGAGCAGACCACATAGATCCAATGAAGGGAAATAAGGAGAGAGTAAGTTTCTTTTTAAATGAATGAGCACATCCCCAGTTCTGGGCTAATTTCTTTTGATTTCTTCAGTCTCTCCTCTTCCCTGTTGGAGGAGCGGAAACAGCCTCCTGTGGTGTGGGTGCTCAGCCCAGGAAGAATGGCCATCACCTGCCATCCCCTCTTTGTGATTCTGCTCAAATGTAGGTGCAGAGCTCCTCCTTGGAGAGCCGCCATCAGCTATGATGAATAACCACTGTTTGCCACTTTTACCTGCTGAATACCAACAGTGAAAGAGTCCTTTTTTCCTGAGAGCACTCAGTTTGTGGGGTTTTTCGGGATTTTATTTTCATTATTATTGTTGTTGTTGTTGTTGTTACTGCTATTATTATTATTATTATTATTGCTATTATTATTGCTATTATTGTTTTTTCTTTCTGGATTTTTGGTGTCAGTGCATTACAACAATGTATTAGAACAGTTTTTATCCACCAGGGATTACACAGACTGTTGTCATTTGAACTGCAGATCACACAGCTGTTTCTTATTAGTGTGCTCAATATCCCTAATGCTACATCAAGTGTTAGGCTGTAACATAAACAGAGGGCAGAGAGCATATCACAGAAGGAACAGAAAACCACAGATCCTGGTTTCCATTTCTGGCACACTGTGGTTTTTTTTGTATTCCTTCTTCCCATTCATTCTCTTCAAAGCTATTTGCTTGCTCTGATGGCTGACTTATGTTACTGCTGGCACAATGATTACCAAACCAAAAACTGAATGGCTACTGCATGCCATTTAATGTTGCTGTATTATGAAAATAGATAAAGTGTTTGATGAAATTTCTTTTCTTTCAAACACATATATATAATTCTTTAACTTAAAAAACAGTGAAAAGAAGTTTGCTTTACCTACACTAATAAATTGCAAATTAAATCTCCATTTGCAAATTAATCTCCATTTGTGACTGAAGTGATTAGCAATTATATAGACATAGAAGATACTAAATCTTTCTCAAAGAATAGAAAGCAGTGCCAGGCATGGTAGTATTATAGGTTAACCAAGCATAACATTTACTTTCTGCGGCTTCAACCTGGGGTTTTGGTTTCTTTTTTTCAGTAATAGAAAATCTTTTCTTTTGTTCCCACCTGAGAAAGCTAAATACATCTGTTATATTTAGGCTGTAAAATGGTGAACTGTTTGTAACTACAGGGAAATTTTGAGATGGGTCTATTCCCCCAACCTTCTGAAATCCTTAGAAGGCAAACTGAATCTTAACAACTATGTCATCAATAAGAGAAAGAAAATAGAAATAGGATGATCCACTTTAACTCTGTTATTTGGTTGTGAAAGGACAGTGAAAGAGTAGAAGAAAATCTAACAGCTGAGAGCATTAAAACTGTCTTAAAGGCTCCAATGCAACCCAATAAAAGATTGAATGGACCACCACATAGAGATCACTTACGCTTTTTCTGAAGCCCACACGTGCATTTCTTTTGTCTCTAGTCTCTATATGCTTTATAGGGAGATGCTATTCAATTTCAATTAGTGCACAATGGTTTCTAAGAATCTCTCTGGCTGGGTTAGTCACTGTCACCCAATCTACCAGACTGCTCCAGAATCAGCTTAGCACCTGTCACTGTCTGACCTTATTTTTATGAAGCAGAATGGATTATTATGGAGCACAACTGGAAAAGCTGTAGTGGAAATTATATAGATGCACATTACAGCTATTTCTATTGAGAATCTCTATCACTTCCTATTGGAATTAGAGTTGAGCTTAACACAAAGTTCTCTCTGCTCTTCCTATTTTTTTAAGTCACAAAACTTTTGTTCTTTTTTAAAGGCACAAAAATGCTTCCTTGCTTTTGTACTCTTTTTTTTCCAGTCCAGCAGCTTTCCAGCTTCAATCCATAGCTGCTTGTATTTGCTTCTTTGCCAACCCAGAGCTATGCAGCCCTAACAATTCATCTGCAATAATAACTTATTCCAAAGAATGATCCAAATTGACTGCTGTTTTTGTAGTGTCTGAGATTCTTTCATGATCTTCCATAATTCTTC